CAGCAATTATTCCTAGTACAGAAAAAAGCACTGAGAACCATGAAAAGCGTATCATCCAGACTCTCTTGTAAACCCCTATTTGCTGATATATTACCCCTAGCATGTCTCTATATAATGGAATTAGCATGTTACATTCATAAAATAAGGAACACTCTTCCTAGGCATATGGACATTCATTGCTATCAAACCAGATACAACCAGTTGATATATCCAAGTCAAAATAACCTTCAAATATCATCAAGTGGTCCACTTTCAACTGGCATAAGCCCAGACAGCACCAGATATTCCATGAATCTCCCTATCATATTCCTTTTGGAATATTGGAATATTCTAGAAATAATCTGGAATATTCCGGAATATCTGTGGAATATTCTCTAAATATGCGAATGGGAATTCCTCAGATAATCATAGAATATACCCAAAAGAATATTCTATGTTGAATGTTCCTGGAATATTCCAATAAACATATTCTAAAATTAAAAAAAGTGACCCAAGTAGGGATCGAACTCGTGACCTCAAGACTATCAGAGCAACGCCTTGACCACTAGGCCAGTAATCGAATTGAATAATGTTATAGGTACATATCAAGTTCTTGTGAGAGCATTGTTCGAAATCGGATCATAAACACTTTTTGTTTCAAAATCCCCTTACATCTAATTGATGTTCGATACTCACATCTCTGAAATAATAAATGGTATTTATGTGTTGAGAAACATAGGAATATTCATGGAATATTTCATGAATATACAAAACAGAATATTCAGTTGAGAATATTTCATGAATATACCGCACAGAATATTCAGTTGGGTATATTTCATGAATATACCGCACAGAATATTCAGTTAGGTATATTTCATGAATATACAACAGAGAATATTCAGTTGGGAATATTCCTGGAAGATTCATACCTGAATATTCCCTGAACATATGTCCGACTATTCACTTTGGAATATTCCTTTTAGATGTTCCAGAGGCATGTATATATTCTAGGAATAATCGATGAATATTCGGAATATACTCCTCCTTTTTAGCATATTTAGAGAATATTCTATGAATATCCAGTGCTGTCTGGGAGAGTCTATAACCAATTACCTGAAGAGATAAAGAATCAATCATCACACTCCAAGTTCCGAAATTCCATTAAACATTTTCTGATGGCAAATCTATTTTATGATATCAATGAACTGTTTATGTGACTGCATTTTTTTACATTTTTAATTTGTGTGTTGTTTTCACGTAGGTACTTACATTTTAAGGCATTTTATGATTTTATACATAATTATTTTAAACAAACATGTATTATATATTTTGACCTTGACTATACCTAAATTATATATATAATTTGATTTAAAAGCAAATTCCAGTAGCTCGTCAGTGACAATTTGTTTGAAAACATTTTTGAAGGAAATAAATATAGATATATTGAAAAAATATCGAATTTTTACTTACCTTTGGACGTTTCAAGACCGAATCTACTCCCGTTCTCAACATGAAAATGCAAAATATCTCTCTTTGGAAGTTGTGCTGCTTATAGTTTGACACTTTTCAATGTCATACTAATGTAGTTTGTTTCTTCTTATTTATGGTGTAAAGTTGAGAATAAACGAGATAATGATGATATTTCGAATGAGTCGTTTTTCTTAGGTTTAATTCCGAAAATATCGATTTTCGGAAAAACAGGTGGAGACAAAATTTGTCCAAAATTTGATTCTCTACAAGTTTGTTCCTGTTCATTTATGCCGTAAAGTTGAAAATAAACGAGATAATGAAAATATTTCGAATTTGTCGCTTTTTTCAGGTTTAATTTACAAAATATCGATCCTATCAGAAAAATTGTGAGGACCAAACTTGTAGAGAACCAAATTTACTACAATTTTCGTCCCCAAACTTTTTCTGTAGAATCAAAAATGGCCGAGTTATTCAAGAAAAACCGTTTTTTAACAAAAAAAAAACATACGCAAAAGCTTGATTTGGTCGCCATTTTGAATTTACACTCCCAGTGACCCCCCCGAGACACCTATGGAAAAAAAACCACTAAAAAATTATTCACGGGTAAGGTCCGTTATTTGGATATAATGACTGGACTAAGAGAAATACTTGCATTCTCATGTTGAGAACGGGGCATATTCGTTCCCGAAACGTCCAAAGATAAGTAAAAATTCGATATATTTTCAATATATCTCTATTTTCCTCCTTCAAATATGTTTTCAAACAAATTATCACTGACAAGCTACTGGATTTTTCTTTTGGGCAAATCATCTGATTTATCCCATTACAAATATATTGAAATAATACGCATATTTTTATTTTATATAAACGAGGAGAAAATCCCAGAAAATCAAGTAAAATGAATGTACCACCTCATCGATTAACCTACAGACAGTATAGTAACTTTCGTATTTCTCCGTATGAAGATTATGCCATCATCTTTTCTTGGGAACAAGAATTCAAAGTAACATTTCGGAACTTGAATCTACGATTTGGTCAAGATTTCACTAAAATCGAACAATAATCTAAAATGCTAAATTTTGTTCTGGCCTATTTTTGTCTGCGAGTGTATTCGAAATTCAACCGTTTCCTACGTCTCTGGCAAAAGATATACCCGGTAAAAGCGAAAAGTGAGTCCTCCATTGTTGAGACGAAGTCATTTGTCACAAGGGTAACACGGACTGCAGTTTCCTTTCACGTCACCGGCGTTATCACGGCCTTCTATGTCTCGCGTATTGTGCGAGACAGCGGCATTCTTCCTCTCTCCTGCTCGGGCGCTCCTCTTCTCCATCTTCTTCTTCTCTCTCGAACGAGCGCTGCCCTTTTCACCGCCCCACGGTCGGGTTTGCCTAGGAAGTTCTAAAGATCTGAATGCCTGCGGAGCCGGAAACCCTTTTTGGGATATTTTAGCCCACAAGGAGCAGCGGCGGACCTGCAAAATGCCGAACGGCATTTTTTCCACCACTAGCTCTAGAACCTACCGTTTCAATTCCATTTATTCAATAAAAACATTTTTACATTACAAGGTGTATAAACAAAAATCTCCTAAAGGGGACATTGAACATGATAAAAATGTAAAACATACAATGTAGTACACTTAGATACGCCACAGAATTGATATACGTATTAATAAACAATACGGATCATAACGGGTGCCAGGATGAAGCCAAAAATATGAAACAAATGAATATACATACGGATTTGGTGGCATGATACGCATGCGCCATGCGCTATTATAGTAGTCATCAAAGACATGCGTTTCGGTGGACAATGACGTTTACTAGCCTTTCAATCAAAGCAGTATGTGTCTGATCGTTTCAAAACTTTTCCTTATGGATAGTCATTTGTCTTCAAAAATCGGCTTCATGTTTCGCTATGGAAACAGATAGAGATTATCCGTATTGATTATTAATACGTATATGACAGAATTACCCTCTAAGGGAGCCCTCAGATGCAGCCGATGCGCAGGCCTTGCCGATGATTTTTGTCTAACAACCCTGATGGCAGTCATGATGGAGCTGACTCCTAGGAGTAAACCTTTAATCCAGCTCATGTCAGTGAGTTGCCCAGCGCAAAAAAGATTGATCGTCGATTGCTACATTTTTCTCTCTAATTTAGCATTTTTTGTGTTGGAAAATAAAAATAAAAAACCAACTTTTGAAATTTCTCTGTGAAAGACATCTAGAAGCTACCATTATTCACTGCTTTTCAAGGCGTGAACGCTGTAATTACTGCCAAGGTAATTTTCGTAATTTTATGAACCCTAGTCAAAAAATACATAGCCACCCCTGATATAATCAATTCGAATTCAATGTTCCTATGCAAGATTCGCAGGAATGGCACTCGAATCCAGTAGGTGAGTATGAAAGTAGCAGCAATCAACAGTCCAATAGACATAGCCACCTCTGATATAATTAATCTGAATCCACTGTTATTCTGCAAGATTCGCAGGAATGGCACTCGAATCTAGTAAGTAAGTAAGAAAGTGGCAGCAACTTTGATTTCTGAAATGGAACACCCAGTATTTCATTGCATTTTTCATCGATATTATCGATATTATCAATAGATTACCCTACTGTAGGAGTTCATGTTGTTTCATAGTGAAAATTAAATGAAAATTATTCTTCTACCATGTTTTACCATTGATACCCTATTATTGTTGCTTTGTTCATTGTAGAATGATTTGCTCAAGCGGCTGATGATGGATACTCTATAGATCCGAAACATGTCCCCTTTCCATTTATGATTTGATATTTTCAATGCATCACACTCGAAGTCTAGCAGGAATGATTACAGATATATAGGGTGTTCATATTCGATATTTTTAAGAATTTTTGATTTTTTTGTGTCGAAACTATTCATTATCGGTCAAAACGGCTTTCATGTTCCTATATCCTACCTTCTGAATCTTGAACCACCCTGTATTTGTTCCAATTAAATGTCAGTAGATAGCAAATCAAGAGTTGGGATAGGCACAAAGGAGTCGTTTTGACCGATAATCAATAGTTTCGCCACAGAAAAATCCTGAAGTTGAAAAATTTCGATATTGAACATACCATATATCGAAAAATCTCAATTTTGAACATACCTTATATCTCAGTACCTAATCATTACCGCTAGACCCCAACAGTGATTCATTCATGGAATCATAAAATGCAATAAAATACAGGGTGTTCCGTTTGACATTTCAAAGTTGCTGATCCTGTCTAGTAGAAGCGGCAAGGCTCATCTTGAAAAACCCTGTATAATAGAAACAAAAATGAATTACTAGATTCTTTTTTATCACTGGAGAATTGTTCCTGCAGTAGGCTGTCCATAAAATGAATGTGCAATTGAAATACCAGTCGTTTCATATTTGCTCGGTCAGAATTCTTCTATGGAAAATGGTGACGCAGACACCTTTTTGGACATTAGATTACCTTCCATATTGTCGCATATATTCAAGCATATCTAGTCTATACTGAATCATAACTACTGTCATAAATATCTACACGATAGTGAACATATTCCTAATTAGAGGATAGCTATTCCAAATGAATGAAATTAAGATAAGAGTACGAATATTCATATACTTATCCCTTAGGCTTCTGTTCCCAAATTATTGTAACGATGTATAATAATGTGAGTGTCGACTTAGTGTGAACACATTACAACATGTCCAGATTCCATATTCTCCTGTTTTTTTTGTGTGCTGCTGCTGCCAGAGATACCGAATATGAGAGACCAGTAGAAGAAACGGTCAGACGTGAAGGATATCCACTAGAAATCCACAACGTCACCACTGAAGACGGCTACATTCTGACCCTCCATCGTATACCACATGGCAAAACCAACACTACTACTAGTGGAAAAGTGGTTCTGCTAGTACACGCCCTGTTGTGTTCTTCGTCATTCTGGCTACTATTCCCTGGGAAATCTCTCGGGTACATCTTGGCCGATGCTGGTTACGATGTATGGTTGATCAACACCAGAGGAAACTCTTATTCCAGGCGACACACTAGCCTGAACCCCGACAAGGATGAGGCTTTCTGGGACTTCAGTTGGCACGAAGTAGGCGTTTATGATCTGCCAGCGACCATTGATCACATGCTCGAGAAGACCAACGTGAGTTCTGTATACTTTTGCGGTCACTCGCAAGGTACTACTGCTTTCTATGTGTTGACATCGATCAGACCCGAGTACAACTCTAAGGTCAGGGTGCAAGTTAGTTTGGGGCCTACTGCCTTCTTGAGCAACTCCATCAGTCCCGTAGTGCGAATTGCTTCCCTCTTAGGCCACACTGGATTCTACTCAAGGCTGCTTCTGTTGGATTCAGGATTGGGAGAGTTTTTATCGAGATACTCCTGGGTGAGTGTTCTGGGCAAAGCGGTTTGTCGAGGTACTCTAATGGAAATTGTATGCGAGACTGTGATATTCGTTCTCATCGGTTTCAATGATTTCGAAATTAGCCCATCAAGCATGCCTGTCATCATTGGTCAGGCTCCAGCTGGAGCCTCTACCAGGCAAGAGACGCATTATGTCCAATTAGCTAGATCGGGTAATTTCAGGCAGTACGATTATGGTGCTGACAGGAATCTGCAGGTGTACGATAGGATCACTCCTCCGGATTACAACCTGAGCATGATCACTGTGCCAGGATATTCGGTACATGGATCAAATGACTGGATAGCTGACGTGAAAGATGTTGAGAAGCTTCACAGCCTTCTGGGAAATCCCAAAGAGAGATATTTAGTCAGTGATCCTCCTTATAACCATTTGGATTATTTGTGTGGAAGGAGTGCTGCGAGGATTATCAATACGAAGATTTTGGAATATTTTGAAGAGTACTGATGAGGAAGATGAAGATGCGAGAAACTCAATTTGTGAAGTGTACTTATATTTACCAAAGTAAAGGCGTAGTTCAGTCACAGTGGGTGATATTTCTGACAACAAAACATGTTTATCTACTCACTGGATCGAAAGTAGGCGTTTGTTCCCTCATTTGAGGAAAAAAAGTTATCAATCAACTCCAATGGGAGGAGAAAAATATTAATTCCCGTGTGAGGTAAAATGAATTGGCTTCAGCATGCATCCTACTTTTCGAGTCATTATACCTACAAAATCTGTGTTTATATCAACAGTGAAAACACAAGAGCTTTTTTTATGGGATGCGTTTAACGAGAAAAACTGGCATGGAAAAATTGTGAGGTCTAGCAATTTTGTCTGTCAGTTTTTCGAAAAAAAAAATACAGGGTGTCCCAGAACAACAACGTACATTTAATTAGACAGGGTGAACTAGAGTTCAAAATAGGTCGATTGGGACCAACTTACCTCTGTACGAAAATGCACCGTTGGGCCGTGAGAGGGAGATGAATGGAATTCTTTTTCAGATTTTATTGAATATTTCAGAATCCTTGAGAGGTAATGCGCTGAAATTTGGAAGGCAGTCAACTATAAGAAGTGTGCATAGATAACAGGTCTCATCAGTTCAATCGATATACAGGGAGATACAAATTTAGCATTCTGATTGGAGAAAATCCATAGAACTTTTTTTGAGTACGCCACTGACAATATTTTAATATCTACTTGAATAACAAAATCAATTATCTATCTTTTTTCTCAACACATTTTGCTTGGTTTACGTGATATCTGAAAAAATTGTTTTCGGAGTCCCTCCATATCATCCATAGTCCAAGATATCAGAGTTATCGTGTTCTGCAGGTTTCTTCCTCCTTCATGTTGATATTTTGGTAACGTATTCATGTTTATTATTCAATAACCTTTTCATCATACAGGATGGCCCATTTTCAACTTGGCAGGGAAATTTTGGGTGATTATTCGAGTAGATATTAAGATATGGTCAGTGGCGTACTCAAAAAAAGTTCTATAGATTTTCTCTAATCAGAATGCTAAATTTGTATCTCCCTGTATATCGATTGCACTGATGAGACCTGTTATCTAGGCCACGTCCACTACATCCAGCTACAACAAGCGAGCTAACCGCAAGCTGCCGATGAGAATGAAAATAACACAACTACAATAACAAGATGAAGTATTATATACAGGGTGGATCCGAAAAACCGGGTTTAGAGAAAGAAATTGAAAAAATACATGATTAACATATCACATTTAGTAGATTACAGTCAACGTGATGTATGACATATGACATTTGACAGATGACAGCTCACATATTATGATAGATGATACAGAGTGATATTTTGAAAACTTCCCACCCTCAATATCTTCCTTCCAGTGAATGATATATAAAATCGAAAAAACACGTCATTTCCATTTCTGAGGAAGACATTCGAAATGCATATTTTCAACCCTCCTAGTTCAACCCCCTAGGAGGGGTAGATGTTACCCTCGAAACCTAATATGGAAAGGGAGGTCAAGATGCACATCATTTCGAAGGGTTTCAAAGTCTCTTTCCAACCACACCCTTTTTTTTATTTTTTGATGAACAGTTACCAAAAAATGCCGTTCTAAACTTACAGAAGTAATAAGAACATGCCTGCACTGATATCTCGACTGATATGCATGGTTTTCAGATTGGTATTATTGTATTGACCCTTTTAGTTCAAATAGTAGGAAGATTATGAATTCATTTGGGTGTATGATGAATTGACATTCATCATAAAGGGCGTGGAAAGAAATTCTGAATTGAGACTCTATCACGAATCTGCGAAGAGGTCTATAAAAATCACAAGTTTCCATCGTTCAAGTTCGAACCCCCTGATTGGGTATGAAAGTGTTGAAAAGGAATATTCTCAGATAAATTATGGACATACAAAAATGGATATATATTTATATGAAGCATTCTTGGAAATATTAGTGGGATGCAGTCTGGACCAATGAATTAATTAAATTTCTTCGTTATTTGTCGAGCTTTCGAAAAATTTTATTTTCTTTATCAAGACTAACTGAAAACATCGAATGGAACAATAATATTAAAATATAAATGTACATCCATTGAAATTGGTATACTTACAAACATGAAATTCTATATAAAATTAGCACAAAAAGAAAACATAGGTGTATTAATAAAATGAAATGATTTGACAAAAAAATGTCATAGATGATGGTTGACTCATTTGAAGATGTTGAATACAGAGTGAGATGAATATATATAATATATATAAAAATACTGATATATAAAAAATGTTTGTAGATTATATATAAAACATGAATCATTCAAGGAGGACGAGTTGATTTATTATCTTTTTGTTTCTTTAGAAGGAATGTATAAATGGTACTAAGATGTCTGTTCTTTTGTTCATCGTTTTATCATTTTCATTAATATGTACCATTTCAAGAAAGAGGCGTTTGTTGAGATGTTTTTCATAATCCAGAATTTTGGCATTATCATAATTCATTATATGATCTTCATCTATAACATGTTCAGCAAGGCTACATGATTTTAAATTTCTTCTACAATCACTTTTATGTGAAGTGATTCTGTCTTTCAACATTCTACAAGTTTGACCAATATAAACAAGATTACAATTATTGCAGGGAATTTCATAAATAACATTCGATCTATTCTATTCTATTCAGGAGATTTCAATTTGGTATGAAGGTGAAATATTGTTTTCAAATTTGTTTTAGCGAATTTAATATTTGTTTCATTTTTAAAGAGACTGATTAATTTGGGAGTTAGATCAATTATGTGTGGTAAAGATTTGAATATTGAAATTTGATTATATCAGTATTTTTATATATATCAGTATTCATCTCACTCTGTATTCAACATCTTGAAATGAGTCAACCATTTTTTAGTCAAATCATTTCATTTTATTTATACACCTATGTTTCCTTTTTGTGCTAATTTTATATAGAATTTCATGTTTGTAAGTATACCAATTTCAATGGATGTACATTTATATTTTAATATTATTGTTCCATTCGATGTTTTCAGTAAGTCTTGATAAAGAAAATAGAAATTTTCGAAAGCTCGACAAATAACGAAGAAAATCAATTAATTCATTGGTCCAGACTGCATCCCACTAAAATATTTCCAAAAATATTATTATAGAACAGTCACGAAAGCTTCCCCTTGTTTATATGAAGCAATACATTGAGAATTCGCATTCTCTATGTGATGAGAATATCTACTCTTTTTCAGTTTATTCAATAGAAAACAACTACTTTCCTGCCTATATGCCACGACGAACATTGAATTATATCTATTGAACACACACGATAAGAGTTTGAAAATAAAATATAAAAACTTCTCAAATTGAGAATTTGCATTCTCCTTCAGACAAAAATATGTATATGCACACATCATTCTGAATATTCAACTACTTTCGTGGCTATTTGCCACGTCGAACATTGAATTATATCTGAATCTGATGAACATTCAACGGCATTTTTGGGAAACTGCTCATCAAGAAATCATGAACTATTGTACTGTTGGCGTTCAGCCCTTTAAAATGATGTGCCACTTGGCCCCCTATCCTATTTGGGATTCTAAGGGTAACATCTACCCCTCTCAGGAGGTTGAACAAAGAGAGGTAAAAAAATACATTTGGAGTATCTCCCTCAACATTGAAATCGATCTATCTTCTCGATTTTTCATTTATTTTTTACTGAATGGAAGATATAATGGGTGGACAGTTTTATAATTGACACGGCAGTTCTCGGAAACTGCTCATCAGAAAATGATGAACGAGGGTACTGTTGGAAAGAGAATTGAACGCCCTTCAAAATGATGTGCCACTTGACCCCTCTTCGAGATTCTGAGTTTAACATCTACGCCTCCTGAGGGATTGAACCAAGAGGACCAAGAATATTCATTTCAAGTGTCCCCCTTGAAAATGAAATTGACCTATCTTCTCGATTATTCATATTACATACTGAGATGAAGATATTGAGGATGGGAAGTTTTCGAAATGTCACCCTGTATAAGCCGTTAATGATAAGTCCGGTGCTCATTGATACTAAACGCTCTGGTTCAACTAACGTTTGACGTATGACATTCAACAACTGACGTATACCACGTGATCTTCCGGTACTCGTCGAAAGCAGGCACTCAAACCGTCGAAATGACTAACGGTCCCAAATGGCGCTCAAATGACGATACGTATGTTTGACAGATGACGTATACCACGTGACCTTCTGGTGCTCGTTGAAAGCAGACACTCAGGGTCGACATAACCTACGAATTTGAACCAATGCATGGCTTTCGATTCAAGCTAGCACTCAACTGACGATACGTATGATGTTTGACAGATGACGTATGCCTTGTGACCTTCCGGTACTTGTCGAAAAAAAGCACTCAGGGTCGACACAACCTAAAAATTCTAATCAAAATTGCTATCGATTCAAAATGGCGCTCAACAGATATCATGTGAGACGTTTTGCCTATTAGTTATTGCTTCACCGATAGCAAACGTTCATATTCAGCGCAGCCAATGTATACTTCAAATACTTCCGGTACCATGAACCTCGTCAAAACAGATATTAAAGTTCGACATAACCTACGAATTTCAATCAAAATGGCTACCGATTCAAAATAGCTACCAATTCAAAACGGCGCTTAACTGACGATACATATGATGTTTGACAAATGATGTATGCCACGTGACCTTCCTCAGGTCCGACATAACCTACGATTCTCAATAAAATGGCCATCGATTCGAAATGGCGTTCAAATTAGGTGAAATAGTGGAGATTACGATTTCCTGTCTCGAAGATATATTTTTCCGCTGTGTGTGATTAAAGTTCGAATAACAATATTTCTCTCTATATGAGTATTATTTCAATCTTCATCTGTGTTAGACATGTGATTCTGTATGTGTTTTCATTGCCAAAAAACCTATGTGTATGTGTGAAAAGCGCAGTGATAATGGACCGACCCTTAGCATAGATGGATGATGCTATTCGCTCATTTCTGAATATAGCTGTTTTTCAATGAAATTGGTGAGTTGCTTAGTTTTCTGCTTCTCAGCCAAGAAAAGGAACAGTCTTGGATAGGTAGATATTATCTGAAAGGACACGAAAAACTATAGTTATTGAAAAGCATTGATTCTCAGCAGCGATTTCATTTTAGTTCATCAAAAT